AAATTAGCGGTAAAGTGTTTCTAAAAATGAATTATGTTAATCCTTATTATATATTAATAGATTTATCTTATGTTGTATAATATTTAAAACATAACATGTAGATAATGTGTTTGATAAAATTACAATGAGAAAAAATTATATTGTGGTTATGTACTTATTTTGACTTGGAGTTTTTTTATAATATAATATTAATAATATTATTGGGACTTAGGTGTATAGATTTATTAATTATAAGTTATAATTTCATTAGTGAAATTGTAAAAATAAATAAATAATATATTTATTATAATTTCTAGGCCCCGCCTAGGCGCCGACTAGGCCCCGACCAGGCGCTCTAGGCGCTAGGCGATGGTCGGGCGCCTATCGACTTCTAGAACACTGGTTTTTTGAGTGCAAATATGTTAGCAGATTTGCCAAAACATCGAATTAGGTATATTATATAGAATTCATGCATAATGATTGAAGATTGATGCATACCAATAATGTCAATAATATATTGCATATAATAAACTATATGAAATTGGATTTGGATTTGCATTCTTGTCCCAATAATGTCAATAGTTTATTATTGAAATAAAATATTAATTTGGATATGGATTTGCATTTCTGTCCCATTATAGTCCATGTCAATAGGAGCAAAACTGGTACGAATCTCGTGCGATGCACGGGTAAGGAATATTCATTAATATTTATAAATTTAAAATTTTGTTAAATAATATTTATAGAATAAAAATATAGAATCATTATGTAATATAATTTACTTATTTAATTGATTGGAAATATTATATGAAATTTAAATTGTGCAAAATTACAGAAAACATGCTTATTTAAATTAGTACATAACCCGTGCATTTCAATATAAGAGTCATTTAAAAAAAATTAGAAATTCGATTTGACTACAATGTGATTTCATAAAATAATTATTTGAATATATTTTAATCATATATTTAAAAATATATGTGAATAATAAGTATAATTATAACACTAATACTGTTTTATTAATTAAAATAAATTTATTTTTGTATTAAATATCCAAATAAAAAATTCTTAGTAGTTGAGTAATTTATAAACTATAAATGACAATTCTATTTACATCAAAGTTAATATTGACTCGTAAGTCATGAATAATTATTTATTTGACTTTTACATTTGGAACCCAAATTTAGACTACACAAAAAATTCCCTTATATATTTCACACACCCACACACACACAGATATAATATTGTATTTTTCTAAATTTGTTGTTGGTTATCTTATTAGAGAAATTTATCAACTAATTCTCTATAATTAAATTACAATTTTTAAGTTTTATTAATCAATATTTGTTTAAAGATCTTTTTAATTAGAAAAGGAATACTTCCAATTTATCGAGTTATCACAAATATCTTATGGTAAGTTATAATGGGAATATGATAAAATTTGTGAATCATATTAACTTGATTTTATAACAAATCAACCTAAAATTTGACATTCATAACAATACCAAATAAAATTCATACCACTTATCTTGTTTTTAAAATTTTCAAATACACTTCTATTCATCATAGTTTTTAAACCCGGCCCGGTGATTGACCCGGGAAGGTCTCCGGGTCACCGGGTCACCGGTTCAACCGCTGGGTCACCGGGTCAATTGCTGAACCGGATAATTAATTTTAAAATTTTTAAAATTATATATATATATATATAGTATTTTGTCATATAAATATACATAAAATAACAAAATTAAATGTTTTGTATGTAAAATTTGTATATTAAAGTGATAATAATATTTTTTTAATAATAAATATTTATCATATAAATATATATACATAGTTTTATTTTTAAAAAAATAAAAAAAAATAAAAAAAATTAAAATATATGTAGGGACCGGGTCAACCGGGTTGACCCGGCCGGGTCAATGCCCCGGGTCGCCCGGGTCAAGGCCGGGTTGACCGGGGTTTTGACCGGGTTTGACCGGTTCATTTGTTATCCGGTCTAATTAGCACACCCGGACCGGTTCTGGCTCCGGGTCGACCGGGTCGACTCGCCGGGCCGGTCCGGGTTGAAAAACACTGCTATTCATACAAATAAAATTTATACCATTTAAATTCAGATATTTCATACCAAAAAAAAAAATCGCTCACTTTATACAATAAATTCAGACATTTATTAATAACAAAATATTTCCTACCAAAAATAATAATGGACATTAAATACCTAAAATAAAATCACCCACTTTATACAAAAATTGAATTTATTAATTTTGGCAATTTTATACCATAGATTGATTAATTATGCAATTTCTATAGGTGGGATTTTTGAAAATCAACAAAATAAATTACCAAGTTTAG